TGAGGTTTCACCGATCTCAAAATTTACACCGGGAGTCACTTTTTTCAAACCTGTGGGACTACCTTCAGTATTGACTTGTGTTACAAACAGAAAGTGTCCCTCTGGACTACCAACCGAGTAGAGACATACACCTAAGGTTTTTTACACCGGTTCAGTTGGCAAGTAAGGCGTGGAGTAGTTGTGAATGACTTGGTCATTAAAGTAAAGATTATGTAAATAATGTATAAAAGTAGAATTTGTGTAACTTCCACGAAACTTTTACTTTGCATTTACTTCTGCACACACACACACACACACACACACACACACACCACCACAACACACACAACACACAAGCAACACACACACACACACACACACACACCACACACACACACACACACACACACACACACACGACACAACACACCACACACACACACACACACACCACACACACAAAAAACAACACACCAACACACCACACACACACACACAACACACACACACAGACCAAACGTCGTGACCATCACATCTATGGAACCTTCCACTGAGGCCAGTCTGTCTCAAGTGCAAGGCGGAAACTACGGAAACAAACCGCTTTGCAGTGCCTTGGTGAAGACCCATTCAAACTAGTACGGGGATTTGGAGACTTCGGAAATTGGTTACGGACATATTTTTGTACGTATCAACTGTAGAAAGGAAAAGATCATCTTTTATTATACCAACATTCACATATTTCCTATTCAACAGTGTAAAGGACATTTTTGAAACTAACGGAGAACGTTTCTTTGGTATTATCTCCTTTATACTTAAAAAGACAGCTGGTCCGTGGTAGTTCGAGTTATTTCAACATACAACCAAATAAACACATGCTTACTATGATCCAGTTTTACTTTTAGTATTATAATTCCCCATATACAATGATGATCTGACAAAACACGACACTGAAGTATTAATTAGCAGGTCTGTATTCTCTCTATGAGTGACTGATACTGTTATAACAGTGCGGACCATGGAACGGGTCCCTAGTCGATACTTTATTCTATTACGAACTAAACCGTATTTAGGGGAGAAGAGGGATTCTTTTCTGTATTATCTGTTATTAGAAAGTTTAGGAAAAAGGTGTTTTACAAGTTTGATTAGGAAAGTACAAATAGACTTTTAGGGGGGTGCAAGACAAAGGGAGGTGATAACAAATTTTGCACTAATATAACTTAATATACTTAATGTAGAGGTCCAGAGGAAGTGTGTAGTCTGGCGCGGGTTCTCGTGTGCACGCGGTGAAGCCAGTGTGCAGTACATCTGCCTGAACCTCCGCCATGGACGCTCAAACTCTCTTGGGGGGGGAACCCAACCGCGTCTGCGAGGGGCTCGTCTCTCTCGTGGCAGCAGTAGTTGTGTACCCGACCCGAGTTTTCAGTCGAGTCCGGGAGAGACCCTGAATTTATATGCCATAGAGAGGACACGTGTCAACGACTTAGTACACGAAACAACCCGAGAGCTAGGTGTCTAAACCCAAAGTCAACGACCACCTTGTACTAGGCGGAAGAAGGGGCTAGAGTGTGCACAGGGTGAGGTCAGGTCGCCCCAGTGAGTCACAAGGGAGATGTACTAGGTTCAAAAGACTCCTGCTGCGGTGCCGGTAATATGTATGCGTGGGGGACGCACTGGCGAGACCTGCTCAAGTGGCCTCTCGGGTGTCGGGGGGAGATTCGTTCAATGGTGAGTGTGGACAAAGCATGTATAGTCTCAAGGTCCCTCGTCCCCTCCGTTCCTCTGGTTTCGCATGTCATCGATCGAGTCGGAGTCGTGTTAATCTGTACATTTTGCCTATTTCACTTTATTTTTGTTTGGACGTAAAAATTAAGTTCAAAAATTACGGTGAGTGACAATATAGAACATGGATTACAATGTGTAACTGTATAGTGGTTCTCGGAACTTGCAAGACTTGACGACAGCGCTGGGAAGTAGAAGGGAGAATTTTTCCTCGTAGTAGTAAATTTGGGGAACTTTTTTGGCAATAAATAATATAGAGATGACAACAAGGAAACATGAATACTGTCCTTTCGTGTGTCGGCGTTGGTTGATTGCTCGGGCTTCTCTTCGAATATGCGTACGTAAATCGTGTGGACTTCAGGTCTGGGACGGCAGTGCGACCTGGAGGACCGTTTTTTTTAGTCTTGAGGACGTTGTGGGATCTGGAGTAGTCATAGCTGCTCGGGTCCTTAAGCCAGGATGTGTGGATAGAGTAGCGTGGTCCTATAACAAAAACGTAGTACCTTAAAATTGGGAACAGGCGTCAAAAACGTAGGACGCGTATTCGATAAGTTAGTTCAAACTTTCCACTGCCGGGAAGAGTGTGGGCCCGTGCTTATTTGATTTTTGTCGGACCAAGAGTGGACCACCCGGTGGATAAAGCGACCTGGGTATTATTCACCCAGCCCTGTTGGTCCATTAAGCTCAACCCGAAAGCGTCCTTACGACACCCTCACTTATCTTTTTATTTCAGTTTTGAAAATAAAAACTCCGGGGCTAAAGAAATGGCGACACGGTACGTTCCGAGCCGCAAAGCCGGGACGCTTCATGGCCTCCTTGGAATATTGCAACAAAACTTTGTATTGAAAGACAGTTGCATCACTAGTTAGAAGAGTTATATTTGTAAAAACGACTAACAAAAAAAGCTAGACAGAAGACCGGGTATAAGTCTTAGTTTCCTAACAACGGAACCTTCAGGGGGCTCTTATTGAAACGTCTCCTTGATGAGTTAGAAGATATGTAGGTTATGTGCTGTGCCCACTGTTGATAGTCTTATTAGTTCTTGTGCATACTTATACTGGGGAGCCAAAACTACCTACCTGTCCTAGTGGGTCTTCTGTTCTACCCACCTGACAGTAGGAAATGCGGATGGAGCTTTAAAATTTCATAAGTTTACCTTGGCGACACACTTTACCTCACATTGACTATATACAGTATTGATTGTCCTTCCTCCTTATCTTCCAACCATTTGGACGCTAACTTGCATTTCCCCATAACGATGTTGCTTAGCAACCGGCGTAAACGGTTCATTTATTTTGTTGGCAGCACATTCTTTAAAACAGGAGCTTCAGATTGATAAAAAGAGGAAATATGAAGGGTAGATTTCAAGCTTGTTATGTAATTAAGTTATTGGGCTTTTTTTTTTATCAACTATGATTGGTTTGAAAATGTTTTTAACTTCAATTGACTGCATTTATTTGAAAAGTGGGCGTATTAACACATGAATACTGTGTAATATATTGGTGTGTTACATATATATTTAAGAAGTACCATATATTACAAGCACAAGTTTCATTCGTGGGCCACATTTCATTATACTTTTTTAAATTAGCTGAGGGCCGTTTCAAAATGTGCCGCATTTGGCCCCTGGGCCGTAGTTTGGACACCCCTGGCTTCCATGCTTTGACAGTGATCTTGAACATGAATCAAACATGAGACCAAGATAACCTCAGTGTTCAATAACCTTTCGTGGCATATCTAAGAGGAGCTTACCTCTGCAGGCACCGACCACCATGTTGAGAGCCTCTCTGTAGCTCTTTGACATTTTCAGGCCCTCGATGGCTCCCACCAAAGGAATCATCCCCAGACCATTGAGTGGAGTGTCAAGAACAGCGGACATGAGTTCACTCTGCAAACAAACAGGGGAGAAAAGATTCTGTTTAACACGTGCAAGAATTTAGAAAAATACCTAAAACATTAACCTATTCATGAATTCTGCTCAGATTCTCATCGTCTCCCAGTTCCAGCTCTATTCCACATTCAGTTTTGATTCATTTCTTGCGATCAGGTGAACACTGTCAGTAAACTCACCACTGGGGGGCTGAACAGTTCACTGAGATCTGAGAAGCTCGACAGGAACCGCGTCAGAGGCGTCTCCATGGGCTCCAGCAGGATGATGGAGGAGTTTGTTGTAACATTTTTTAGCAATTTCTTCCGTGATGCTGCAACGTTGAAATTCAAACAGTAAGTACGGATAGAAAACAATATGTTTCTAAAACACAGCTTTGAATGTGTCACCAACTGAGACATCCTAATCTGAAATAGGCTAAATTAATAGAATATGCATTCAATTGACCCCTCCCTTATAACATGGTTCGAGCTGCTTCACCTGATGTCAGGTAATTTTTGAGGATGGGTGAAGCCTCGGTTTTGTCATCTCTGGTCTGATCAGAGTTTTCCAGTGCTCTAATGGTCAGAGGACAATGTGATGCTGGGGAGAAGAGAGGATATGACTGCTGGCCTTCTTCAATGGTGAACCCCATCACCTCCACCCGGCCGTACAGACAGGTCAGGTGGCACTTCCCACGGAAACACAGGGTCTGAGGGAGAGGAAATGTAATGCTTAGTCAAAAAAACAAACATCTTAGTTGTCAGACCTTTACTTAATTTTCCAAAGCATACCTGATTCTTCTGCATGACGAGCACTGCGTGGTTTCGTCGATCATCTCTCTCTGCACAGTTATGGAGAGACCCTCCCTCCAGTCTAACTGGGATTATATTTTCTATTTTACCTGAGGTCTTAACACCATTCCCATGAATAGACTGGGAGTACTTCTTCCATTCCATGGAGTCATTTGAATCATTGTCCATTTTAAACACTAAGCTTCCATTAGCCTGTGTGGGAGGTTTCTGAACTACAGACTGAGGGGTGTTTGTCTTGGCGCCAGAGACAGGCTTTGCTTTATTCTTTAATCTCTTGACGGAGGGCTTTTTCTTCTGAGACGCTTTGTGCACCACCGCCATTTTGGCCACGACAGGACTGGAGTTGAGCTCAGAGGAAGTGATGGGGGGCCGGCTCCGTTTGCCCCTCACATCCTTCCACTTCTGAGATTTAGCATGGCCCTTCACCTGTGTGGGTTTATGTGCCTTCATGATTCTGTGATCAACAACTACTCTTGTGGGTGTTGATTAAAACAAAAAGGGGGCGGGCTGCAAATAGAGAAAAAGAGACAATTAGCATCTGAAAGGACAGGGGTCACCAGTACATTGACTAGGGTCAAAATGAATAGCTGAAAATGTGCCTTCACTAAGTAACTCAGCAATAACCAATTGTGGAAGATGTTAGTTCTTACACTTAAATAAAGGTATTACTATTAAAGTGTAGAAATAATGTAAAGTACTGCAAAAAAAGAAAACAAATATCAAAAAAACATTTGACAGAATGGTCCGTTTCACAATAAATGTTATGTTATCTGATCACAATTGTTGACGCAATAACGTGTATGTCACATTATTGTATATAATGCAGGGTAGAGTGCGAATGTACTGCGAGGATCATTAATCAGAGGTGGAAGAAGTACTCAGATCGTGTACTTAAGTAAAAGTAGAAGTACCAGACTAGGAATACTCTGTAAAAGTCCTGCAATAAAAATGTTACTCAAGTAAAAGTAATAGCATCGAAATATACTTGGAGTACCAATAGTAAAAGTACTCATTATGCAGATTGGCCATGTTCACAATCATTAATATTATATGTTTTGATCATAATTACTGATTAATGTGTTTATCAAGGTGGAAAAGGTGGAACTAGTTTCGATTATTTGATGTACTGCTCGGTAGAATGCGAATGTAATACAGGTAAATCTAAAGTATTTTTAAAGTGTTTGTTTATCTATAATCTAATTCAATGTAACTAAAAAAGTACTACATAAATGTAGTGGAGTAAAAACACACTATTAACATCTGAATTGTAAAGAAGTAGAAGTACACAGTAACAACAAATGTAAATACTCAAGTAAAGTACAAGTACCTCAAAATTGTGCTTAACTACAGTACTTGAGTTAATGTACTTGGTTACTTACACCACTGTCATTCATGTCTTATCTCATCCCACAATAAAATAGCATACTTTATTTGTTATTTAAAATTAAAAAAGTGGCTAGTAACTTAACCATTTTCCTTTCAAATGTAGTAGAGTATAAAGCAAAAGAAAAATATTTAAAAACCTTAATTCAACACATATTGGTTTGATTTTGCAGCAGTTCGATAGCAATTGAATGCTAAGCTAACCACAGTAAGACATAAAACAAGGTAGCAGTATACGTACTCTATGTACTTTAGTATATCAACATGTGGAGCAATATTCAAAAACACACATACAACATACGACAGTATAACTCGCTGTTATACAATACATTTTACAAACATTTAATAGATTTCGTCTACCCATCACAGAACTGAAACAACTGACAGTTATGCTAACTGCTATCTGATCTTAATGCATTCAGGAGGAGAAAAAACTTACCCCCCAATTGTGTAAAGACAACGTAGAAATATGAAGTCGACCCGTGGTGATTTTGCTAAATAGATACCGTTCTTATTTAGGAAAAGTGAAGCCAAGGAAATGGCCAACTGTTCTGCAGCAGTGCTAACAAGCTAACTAACATGTGTGAGCCACAAACAGACGCCGCTTCCAGATGGTCGACTAAAGGCTACCCCTGAGTTTCATTATTTACATTTAACTACGCAGAACTATTACATTTGATCTGAAATATGAATGAACTCAACAAAAAGAACGAAATGAATGTAGGCACAGATAATAATTATATGTGAGGCTATTACATTGTTACTTATGTGCTTGTAGATGTTTAATCATGGACAACAAGCATTTTTCCCGGAGTTCGGTCGCATAAAAAGCGTCACATCCTCTTCCTTCTGCAGCTTTTTAGGGGCCTACAAGAAACGAAAACAAGGTGCATGAAGCGGCTTTGCTACGTTTTGCAAACTATTTGCTGGAGAACACGAAATGGCTGCAGCTTCTCAGCAATATAGGAAATAAATCACATTTTTTTCCTCCATACTGCAGAGGTGATGCAGCTGTCGGGTGCGTACCATGCTAAGGGAGCGTCTTTAAAAATGTGCTGGAAAATAAACGTCGAGCTGCGTAGGTAGCTAGGGGCTTGCAATCATTTTATTTTAGGCAGCCTCTAAAGCAGACATAGGATTATTCCAGGAAAGTATACGTGAGCAGCTTAAATTATATTTAAAAAATGTATATGCTATGGAGCCATCACTGAAATAAATGTAATTCAGTAAGCTTCATTTGTTAAAGTAGATAATTTAACATGATGCACAAGTGATTTCAATCTGTCTTAAATATGTAACACTTCTAAATGATGTTCTTTGTTTATGTAGATGCAATTGTAAGTATTTGCAACATCATGGCTGTTAATTTATCCGAATCAGTATTGTCAACCTAAGGGTGTTTTTTATTTGCATTCTGTGTATTTTGGATTTGCACCTTTGATATTTTTTAGTACTTTTTACTTCAACATTGTATAATGATTTCCACCAATATAAATAATGCTATACCTTATTTTATAGTATTAAAGATCTGGAGGATCTAAAGTTCAATATCAACAAATCTAGTTTTATCGGACAGTTTAGTCCAAGAACACCCAAAGCCATTCACATTTGGAAACTGCATTTCATGCCTTGTTGATTAAAAAAAGTCATTTTCAAAGATAAAATACATGCATTTACAACAAACCATCATCAAATAGAGATAGGTAGAAATACAGCTTATATTTAGAGTCAAGTAGACGAGAAATATATATATTTACACATAAAATGTACAAAAACGTACAACTTCTATATTAGATTTCAAATAATTCATAATTTGAAAGAAACTTAATATGCAATGTAGTGGCAATTTCTTATTTTACTTTATATGGTAAAACTAAATGATGATATTGTGCTTAGAAACTGTTTGGTCAACTCGACCTGTTGTACCACACGATAGCTTCCCACCAAGGTCGTACCTGGAGGATGCGGCTCTCCCTATGTAAATGTACACATTTAAAAACTGCTTTGATTTGAAATATGTACCAGCAAACTGAATATCTTTGGGTTTTAAACTGGTTGCAAGATAAAATAAGGGATTTAAAGGCCATTGGTTTGACTCAATATTTTCCCCTTAAGCACAGATTAATAAACTAACTAGATGAATAACTCTGTTTAACTGATATGTATGTTCAATGCTACACATACTACAATGCTAAGTTACTAATAACATGCAGTATGATGTCCCTGTCTCTCAGTCAGCAGTATCCCACAGTAAACAGAGGGATGCCTCCGGCAGAGAGCAGCCATGCCCAGCGCGTCCTCTCCTCCCTGAACCAGCAGAGGGCGGTGGGCAGGTTCTGTGATGCAGTGTTGAATGTGGGAGGGGGGGTGGTCTACCTGGCCCACCGCAGCATCCTGGCCTGCTTCAGTGACCTCTTCCAGCAGTCCAACATTGCCGCTGCACCCTGCATGGAGTTCTGCCTCCAGGAGTGCCCCAAAGACGGCCTGGAGCTGCTGCTGAACTTCCTCTACACCGGGGAGCTGAAGCTGGAGGCTGACAACCTGGAGAAGGTTCAGCATGCAGCCGCCAGCCTGGGCGTTCCTGAGGCTCTCTCCCTGTGTCAGCAGTTCAAGGAGAACCCTGCTGATTCCCAGCCTTTCAAACGTAAAAGAGGCCGACCCAGGAAGTCCACATCCGGAGGTGGGAAGTACATTTACTCAATCAGAATCAAAGCTTTTATTGTCATATGTACACAGTGTAGTTATGACAATGAACATCTTAAGTCACAGGCTCTTCCCACAGTGCAACACAATAAAACAGTTAATAGTGCAAGTACATAAAATAAAATATAATGGAAATTGTGCAGAATAGTCTATATACAAGTAATTGGAATATTGATATCAGAAACAGAAACAGGTGTATTGCCAAGTAAGTTTACGCATACGAGGATGTTTCCTTGGTGTATATGGTGCATACATGAGCACAGGTAAAGAAGATACAAAGTAAGAAAGAAAACACGAAAACAAAGAATGACATTAAAGCCTTTGAATCTTGAATCTTTAAATCTTGCATCTTTAGTATTTACATTTTCAGAATCCGAATCAGTATTCATCTTCTGTCCCCGCAGCAGGGAACTTTAAAGTCTCACAGCAAAAGTGGCATAGCAGGTAAAAAAGGCATGCAATTATAAAGAGTAAGCTAACTTATTAAATATACAGTACAATTGCAAAGAAAAACGTCTGTATTTTATGCTTCTTTATACTTCTACTCCACTACATTCAAAAAGGAAATCATGTAATTTTACTCCACTACATTTGTTTAAAAGCTTTAGATACTCCGATTGTATCTCTAAAAATTAAAATAGTGGAGTAACAAGTTAAAGGTGGCGGCTGGTGGGAAATATTTTTTGTTGGGCTATGGAAATGGTGACCAGACCATACTAGGTCGGTCCGGAAAATTTTGAGAAATGACCCCTTATATTATGACTTCTGGTGATGTTAGAGGGGGGGGGGGTTAGCTATGAATCCTCCAAAACTGTGCAACAGTACAGTTGGCCCACAAAATGCAGAACACTGGTGCTTTGGGAATACTCAAATTATTTAATTCCCATTTAAAATCAGGAGACTAAATACCAACATTGTGTGTGTGTGTGTGTGTGTGTGTGTGTGCGTGCGTGCGTGCGTGCGTGTGTGTCATACTCGATAACCCTCGCAATTTTTGCGGGA